AACGCATCCGCACAACTGCTTACCATCCAGCATCTAACGATCTAGTCGAACGTTTTCACCGTCAAATAAGGGTGCCCGCGATGAAATCTGAGAGAAGAAGAAATGCGTTGCTCGTTTTCGATTATGATCATGTTGGAAGCCTGACTCCTCATATAGCTAAGCAACTGTGTGGGAGTGTATAGCCCGTTATACCCTAGACGGACTCTGTACTGTAGCTGCTTGAGACGGTTGTTCTCTGTCATGCTGAACCGGTTGATGATTACATCTTTTAATGAGTAGTAAGGTCTGTGGGGTGGGGGGCGGGTTGCATACTACGTCCCTTAAGCCAGGCCTCATGGAGCGTGGGATGTCCCATGATTTGTGTAATTTGGTAACTTGATCTGCCATCCTGGCCAGCCGGAATTGTACTTCTACCTGCGCTAACCAAAACTCCGGATCTTCGGGGATGAAATCTGGGATTCTAGCCACCAGACTACTCACATGGGGCTATCATGAGGCTATCTTAATAATGACTTCTGCGCTGATGTGATCGTCGCTGCCTGAGGTTTACATCACGCACGTAGGTGATGAGTTAGTGACAAAATGCACGTATATAAGTCAACTAAATGAAAGTCGTAAAAATGAATCCAAAGTTATACCCGTGAAATATGAAGGATTAAGCATGTGGAATAACCCAACGGTATTACCGAAACTAACTTGAGCGATAACTGTGACAAGGTAAAAATATCACGTCGGGCTCACCAATTTAGTCTCTATGCTAATGATGTCGACGAATTCGTACGTCTAACAACGGACGGAATCACTGATATCACGAAAATTCAGCGACGGTTGAACTGGACTGAGCTGGAGAACAGAGAGAGAAGCGTACAGAAAAGTGAGTGTGCAGAAGGTGAAAGTCAACCAACCGTGACCAACGAGGTAATCTTGGTCCGGTAGAACAACAATGTCCGAAAGATGGAAAAGGTACATGTGTGGGAAGGGATTGACACTATCACTACATAAGAAATTTAGAAACTGTCGAAGCGCATCGAGAACACCGCAGCTCGGACCCGCAAGAAACTGGACACTCGTTGGTCATCAGCCGCTAATCTGGTGACATGACCTGACTTGGTGAGTTCGTTCCATCTTGTTGGACTGGAACTTTCCAACAAGGGACAACAAATGCGTTAACATATCGTTTGCTAGGGTCCGTGTGCAAACGTTTAAGCGACGAACCTCGTGTATGGTCTGTAAAGGTCTAAGCCCTATGCTTGTCCTGATTCTGGCCCGACCCAGTCGGCAGACCGATCGAACTATGCGTTTGTCCGGCTTGCAGCACGGTTTATATGTCCGCGAACATCTGCCGATATGAGATTCCAATATAGTTATTTTCGTGCCAGTTTTCGGAAACGGTGAAAGAGAGAGAACATATTGTATTATTGCTACATGGTTGAGTGACTCGCAGGATGAAAGGTGACACCTTCCAGTTGCACAATATCTTCAGGTCTGAAAAAGCCGACAACTTCTGCAAACAAGCATGGGTAATCATTGTGGGATCAGTTTGAGACATTCCTTTACCCACAGAATGATTCCTCTTTAGAATACGCTCTCAAAATAAATGGTTAATGTCAGTCATAGACTAAACTTTTATCTTGGTCTAATCCGTGAACGGTAATAAGCTTTCTGCCACATCGTGTTATTCATGTTTTGCAATTTTCCTCTGCGTTTCACTGTATGCAGATACTGCATCCCAATAGTTCTCCTAACGTTATTTCCTTCCAGGTAGCTTTCTTGGACAGACATGTCCAGGCTAAACTCTTATTATTTAACGACCACTCCTCTTCCTAATATTCATCAACGACCTTGCTGAGGAGGTCGCAAATCCGTGCCTCATCTACGCCGACGTCGTTAAAATAGTTGGCGGCTCGTCCAGTTGTCAACCAATACAAGACGACTTAGACAGGCTCTCAGCGTGGATGGTGAGATGGGATCTGCCGCTTAACGCAACCAAATGTTGTGTTCTAAGCAAAAATGCTCCGGAACCCCCCTGCGGCTTACGCTCCCAAATCAAGTAGCTCATACGCTGAAACAAGAGAGATGTGTCAGGGACCTTGGGATTACAGTCCCAGCCAGCTTTACACCTAGCGATCAATGCGCCGAAGCAGCCCACAAGGCCAGGAGAGCGCTCTTTGCACTCAGAGCTGCAATAACCAGCAGAGAAGCTGATGTATTCATCCCTCTGTATAGGGCACTCGTCAGACCCCACCTAGAATACTGCGTCCAAGCTTGGGCTCCCTACCGAGTAATGGACGTAGACAGGTTAGAAAAAGTGCAACGGTTAGCAACTAGAATGGTTCGCAAAACCAAAGGACTATCCTACGAAGACCGGCTTCGGTACCTGAACCTCTTCTCTATGCGTAGGAGACGTTTAAGAGGAGACCTGATCGAAGTCTTCAGACAAATGAAGAACACAGACCTAGGTCTCCTACCTCTGAGATCCACGAGAGACCTAAGAGGCCATGAATGTCACTTAGAAAAGAATAGAAGTAGGTTAGATGTGAGGAAACATTTCTTTACCAACAGGGTGGTTAACTTCTGGAATCGCCTCCCCGGAAGACTCGTTCAGCTGACCACAGTTCAGGCCTTTAAAATGGAATTGGATAGAGTATGGGCCGAAACATTTCCAGAAGTGACCTAAAACAGAAGGGAAATAAGCTCCCTCTGTTATTCCCCCCACCCCCACGTTTGACACTACGTGGTGCGCATGCTCAGCATGCACACGAAGGAGCGCTTGCGATTAAATATACGTAAGTCTCTCACCGACACGGCGAGAAGACAGCATGCCTCCTTTCTGTTTCAGCCTTACCAATAAAAAACGCGACTCCTACTACATCCGAATCCCGCAACTTCGGACGGTCGCGGAATTATCAACCGTGCTGCAAGCCGGACAAACGTACAGCTCGATCGGTCTACC